TCGCTCTCCGACAAGTTGTCTGGGTGCGCAACTGCTTGGAGCAGTCAACGACGCCGCCGGGGACGACTCCGTACCAGCTGCTGACCGGGAAGAAGCCCGACTTCACGCTGGAGCGGGTGTGGGGCTGCATGGTGCAGTTCATGGTTCCCGAGCAGCAGCGCGGTGGGAAGCTGGCGCCGAAAGCTCGTTGGGAGCTTCATTTGGGTGTGTCGCAGGAGAGCAAGGGCTAAGAGGTGCTGGACTTGACCGACAACAAGGTGGTCACGTCCGTCGAGGTGATCTTCTACGAGACGCTGTGGCTGGAGGTGTGGAAGGTGAAGTATGGGCCGGCGTCAGGGCGGACGCAGGCACACCCGCCGACAGACACCTCACCGGTACCGGTCCCGCTGCTCGGCGAGGTCGACGAGCCTGTTGCTGAGGATGTCGTGGAGGTTCTTCCTCCTCCCCCTATTCTTGCTCCTCCCACCCCCGTCGCAGATCAGTCTGAGTCGACACCTGTGTCGGCCACCAGCGATGAGGGGAACCTTGAGGCGTCGCCTGGGGCGCCAGCCAGTGGCATCGCCGACGGCCGACAAGGCGCCAAGCTCTTCTTGGTCAATGAGAGGCTGTCGACGACAGGGGAGCCGCAGACAGGGGAGCCAGTCGAAAAGGAGGCCACAGCAGGGGTGCAGTCGACAGGGGAACAGCAGCCGGGGCGGTTGACAGGGGAGCTATCGAAGTCAGCAGGAGGTGAGCAGCCGGTCGAAGGGTCGAAGCAGCTGGTCGACGACGTGAAAGTCGACGAGGAAGGGGGGCTTTCGGCAGGAGAAGAGTCCACCTACAGCGATGTAGTGGAGGTTCCGGTCGAGAAGCCTGAGCTGCGACGCAAAGGTCGAACTCGGAAGCCGCCGGAGCGGCTAGTCTTCCATGCTTGCCTTCCCCTAGCTGCTTTCACCACGGTGTACGACGACGCCGACGATGACCTGCTCTACGACGACGCTTTAGATGACGTCGACCTGCCGGAGCTCGACCCCGATGTATATGCTGACCCCGAACACCGCTGGGACATGGCTACGATGACGGTGAAGGAGGCGCTGGTGAGATGGAAGGGCGAAACGGTGAAGGCCGCCATGGACGAGGAGATCCGCAGTCTTATCAGCATGGGCACATGGGAGCTGGTCGAACGCCCACACGGGGTGAACATCATGAAGAATCGGTGGGTGTTGACGACCAAGTACCGCATCGAAGACACCGTCGAGCGCGAGAAGGCGAGGCTGGTCGTGAAGGGCTTCACGCAGGTGTATGGCGCCGACTACGACGAGACGTACTCGCCGGCGAGCAGTTACGTCATGCTGAGGATCTTCCTCAGCATCGTCGTTGTTTCCGACCTCAACCTGATGCAGCTCGACATGAAGAATGCTTTCCTGCAGAGCAAGTTTGACCGAGTGCTGTACAGGTACCCGCCGGATTGCTTCGATGACGGGACCGGCCTGGTGTGCAAGCTGCTAAAGAGCCTGTACGGGCTGAAGTAGTCGCCGCTGCTGTGGTACAGGGCTCTTGACAGCGTGCTGCAGGGCGCTGGCTGGAAGAAGAGCCAGGTCGACACGGTGCTCTACTTCAAGGTCGGCGACGACGGAGTGACCTGCTGGGTGCTGGTCCTGCTCGCCGCTAACAGCAGCATTGCGATGCTGAAGAAGCAGAAGGAGCTGCTGGAGGCCGCCTTCGAGCTGCGGGAGATCTCGCCGGTCGTGAAGTACCTCGGGCTGGAGATCGTGCGCGACAGGCCGGCGAGGAAGCTATGGCTGCACCAGCAGAACTACGTCGACAAGCTGCATAGGCGCTTCATCGACGAAAACCAGACCGGGCGCATCCCGAAGACGCTGGTCTCGGTCGACACACATACGGAGCTGACATTTACGACGAGGAGGCGCAGGAGCGCGAGGAGGAGGAGTACCGGCAGAAGGTTGGCTCGCTGCAGTTCGCGGCGACAACGATGAGGCCGGACATCGCCTTCGCCTGCAGCAAGCTGGGGAGCGGCCCCACGGTGAGGAGCGACCAGCATTGGCGTGCCTCGCCTACCTCGCTGACACCCGTGACATCGCCTTGGAGTTCGGCGGTGGACCAGAGTCGCTGGAGCTGATCGGCTATGTGGACGTCGACGACGCGGGCGACAAGCAGAATCGGACGAGCACGGGTGGCTACGCGTTCGTCTTCGGAGGGGCCGCGGTCTCCTCGTCGAGTTAGCGCATCAAGTGCGCGACGCTCTCCTCGACCGAGTCGGAGTACGTCGCAGCCACAGACACGGGCAAGGAAGGGCGTCGACTTCGCTTCCTCCTTGCACAATTCAAGTTGCTCGACGTTGGGAAGCCGACCATCATCCGCGTGGACAACAAGTCGGCAATCATGGTCGCTGAGGGCTTGGGGCTGACGGGCAACCTCAAGCACATGGAGCGACGCTATGCCTGGCTGCAGCACATGGTGAGGTGCGGGAAGTTCGTGCTGAAGTACATCCCGACCACCGAGCGGTCGGCAGACTTCCTGACGAAAGGGCTGCATTTTCCGGCTTTCAACCGGTGTTCTGTCGCCATCTGCCAAGTTCGTCTGGTCGATGGCGGCGACGGCGACGATGATGTGCAGTAGTAGGTGCCGTGCCCTTCTGCACGGCTGGTGCGGTGACGGCGTGCTGTGTGTGGGGTGCACGCCGAGGACGAGTTTTCTCCGCCGTGTGGGCTGGAGGCCCAAGCGTGAGCGCGGCAGGGGAGTATTAACGGGAGAGGAGTGTTGGCCCCGCCCTCGCTTGGGCAACGCCGGTGACTTCGTCGGATGTACGGGAGAAGCAGCCGACCGTTCACAGTGGGAGAGCTGCTCGACGGGCTTCGTCGAGCTGCAGGGGACCTCTGTGGTGTTGCTCTCGACCAGGGAGCTCGACAGCTGCAGCTGACTGGGATGGGCAACGGGTGGGCCGTCGACCAGGCAGAGCAATTCGATCGGGTGGTCGACGGAGCAGTCCGTCGACCTGACAAAGTGAGGAGTCGTCGACGAGGGGAGCTCGGCGACAACAGCTGAGAGTTCTGGTCTACGGAGGGGTCAATCGTCAGGCGCAGACAACAGCCGATGGATGCACACCGATGCAAGTCGGGCCAATCGTCTGCGCGCACCTGCAAGCATGTGCACTGCTGTCTTCTATGAGGCAATGCTGGACAGCCGCTCTGCTGCAGCGTTGGCATGCCGTCGACCTGCTAAGTTGGCAGGTCGCCCTTCTGCAGTGCTGGCGCGGCTCCTCTACGCAACGCTGGCAGGCGGTCGACCAAGCTGTGCTGGCGGTCGACCAGGCTAGCTGCAGAGTTGCTATATGCCTGATGTAGTCATTGTTGTCATTTCTTGTTCATTCATTCTGTAATTTTGGCTTTGCTAGTGGAAACTCTTGCCAACTTGTCCTGTGTATGTGCATACGCTAAGGAACTAAACAAAGCTACAGTCACTCATAATATTTCATGCCAACCCCCGTAGTCTAGCTCACTACCGTGGTAGAGTCTCTCCGTAGACGTTACCACACTTCTTGAATTGGTCTCACAGATTTGGACACCGATTGATATACGGTCCTGCTTTCTCCCCGCTGAGGAGGCGACTCATGGTTACTGGATCTGTTGTCATGTATGAATTGCACAGGTGCTCCCAAGACACTTGCGCAGGAGCGCACTCCTATATGAAGGAGCGGATGCCAAGCTGCTCAACGGGGGAAAGATTCTGGAGAAGAGCATGTATGTGAAAAGGGACTCGTGGTAGTACTGGTTCTTCTCCTGGAGAGTTCTGTCCGTTGGAAGGTAAGCTCCCGTCGTAGTAATCCAGACCTGCGCGGCCGTTGCGAGGAGTTCAAATTCGAAACTCCACGTTTCAAAATCATTTCCGTCGAATTTATTTGAAGTCTTCAGATTTGATGTCATAACAAATTTTGTTTGCATGGTTGCAATCGCTTCTGACTGTGAGCGTTGTTGACGGTCGTGCACATGAGCTGAAGCTTTACGGTTGTCAAAGGTGAATGATCTCTCGGGGTTGACGCGCCGGTCTTCTCCTGGTAGAGGTAGTCCAGCAACTCCTCTTGCGTAGCTTGAGCCATCGATGCTCATTGCTTGATGGCTCTCAAAAACGTTGATGCGAGCAACGAGTTGCTCAACGATGGCAGCGCTGACGGAGGTCACCGCTGATTGCGCATTAGTCGTTGCTGGTAGTGGGCCTAGAGAGTCTGCAGTAGCTTTTCCTTCAGGAGCCATAGTGGTGCAGACTTGTAACAGGTATTTATAATGGACGAGTTTATAAAGGGTTGTTCTAGGAAGAACAGGAACTTGGCAGATCTTATAGTCCACTGTGGCTCTCATACCATGTTGATGTAACCAAGAATCGTAGTGGATAGGAAAAGTCTTGGCAAGTTGTGAGAAGATAGAGAGTTTTTGTAATAGTTTGAAAGAAAACAAGATGACTAAAGATAGGAGTACAAGGATATAAATAGCAATCCTAGCTAGCAACTGGTCTGATGGGTACATTCCCTTATTAACTGTATTGCATTGCTACAGTAATCGCGTTATTGCTATACTCGAGAGTTACCGTGCATCGTGTAACCACCGAGTACGGTTACTGGACGGTCAACAGACGCGACCGTTGACTAACTGCGACTGTCGACCTTCGAGTGGCTTTCGGGGTGCCGCGTGCTCTATACAAGCTTAATGCGATATTGGTACAAGTGCGCTGCCTCGCTATGAAGCGATGCGCGAAGTGCGCTGCCTTCGGGAATGTTATAATAATCGTTGGTTATTCCAACACATGCACTTATAAAATGACAAATATAGATGAGGACCGACAATAAGCACAGTGCTCCAAATAGAAGCGCATGCACTTATAATAGCCATGCGCTTATATTTGGGGCCTTCCGGTATATTGGCTCTTACAGTATGCTGGTAGAGAAAAAAAATAACAATATATATGACCTACAAAGGCCTATACACGCCAACAGTACCCAGATACATTTAATCCGGCAATCTGACATTTGAGAACCATCTGTCGTGGAGAGTATGTTTGAAGTGAAATCTGTGGTTGCTGATGTCCAGCTCAAACGAACGAGCCCCCCCGCATAGGATGGACCCAGCCAGGAACACATGGGCATGTGCACACAGCAGCTTGTCCAATATGGCCACGATGCCTGTGTTGGGGCAGAAAAAACGAGGGGGCGGAAGGAAGTGGTAGAGGGCAATAGAGGAAGAGGAGGTGCGTGGAAGGGGACGAGGGTTGGCATGGCACAATAATATGGGAGAAAGAAAGGAGAAGGGACATAGGAGAAGGGACGTAGGAGAAGGGACGTAGGACAAAGTCCTTGCCAGGTACAGCTTGCCACAGAGCAGCCACCTGAACAGCCACCCAAGCAGGCACCCACCAGACCAAAGTGCACTGACTGGGGTCGTAGCGGTTGACGGCGGGCATGAGCTCGTCCACCATCACTGTGCCCGCCACCTGCTCCCTCAGCCACTGCAGCTTCTCCCGCGGGGCCTGTAGCGCCCTCTCTTTCTCCGCCCCTTGGAACTTCCACGTGGTCTCGTTCCACGAGTCCAACCACACCACGCTGCCCGCCTTGTCGTCAAACGGCACGTCGGCGGCGATGAAGACGGCGGAGATGTTGTGGCGGCGCTTCATGCCGTTGATGAGGTCGCGCGCCGCCTCCATGCACCCCGTCATCAGCCCCTCCAGCACACCCGCCTCCAATTTGTAGCCGACTTTTGCTAGCCTGTGCCCCTACAAGATGGGTGAGGTGGGATTAGGGAAGCAGCAAGGTTGCAATGAGCTTAGAAAGGTTGAAGGCTTACCAGGTGGAAGGCAATGAGCTTATGTGAGAGCACCCCGTCCATTTTCAACTGAACTACATTCGATTTTCATTTCAATGCTTATTTCCTAGTTTGTTTCTTTTGCTTGCACCGAGTTCTGCCTCATTTCGGTTGTTTCCGCGTGACTTTGCGTACGCGTGATATACGTCGAATTTCTTCTACCGAAATCGGGAAGATTTTGTTTTCGACGGTTCCCGGGGGTTGGTACCTTATAGTAACATCCCGGTTATCTGCCTTGTGTCGTGCCTATATTAGTCAAGTAGTTGTACCAAAAATCCATAATCTATTTTTTGAACTCGATCTTACATCCACACAGCTTACCAGGTTGAAGGCAGTGAGCTTACCAGGTTGAAGGCAATGAGCTTACCAGGTTGAAGGCAATGAGCTTACCAGGTTGAAGGCAATGAGCTTACCAGGTGGAAGGCAATGAGCTTACCAGGTTGAAGGCAATGAGCTTACCAGGTTGAAGGCAATGAGCTTACCAGGTTGAAGGCAATGAGCTTACCAGGTTGAAGGCAATGAGCTTACCAGGTTGAAGGCAATGAGCTTACCAGGTTGAAGGCAATGAGCTTACCAGGTTGAAGGCAATGAGCTTACCAGGTTGAAGGCAATGAGCTTACCAGGTGGAAGGCAATGAGCTTACCAGGTTGAAGGCAATGAGCTTACCAGGTTGAAGGCAATGAGCTTACAAGGTTGAAGGCAATGAGCTTACCAGGTTGAAGGCAATGAGCTTACCAGGTTGAAGGCAATGAGCTTACCAGGTTGAAGGCAATGAGCTTACCAGGTTGAAGGCAATGAGCTTACCAGGTTGAAGGCAATGAGCTTACCAGGTTGAAGGCAATGAGCTTACCAGGTTGAAGGCAATGAGCTTACAAGGTTGAAGGCAATGAGCTTACCAGGTTGAAGGCAATGAGCTTACCAGGTTGAAGGCAATGAGCTTACCAGGTTGAAGGCAATGAGCTTACCAGGTTGAAGGCAATGAGCTTACCAGGTTGAAGGCAATGAGCCTACCAGGTTGAAGGCAATGAGCTTACCAGGTTGAAGGCAATGAGCTTACCAGGTGGAAGGCAATGAGCTTACCAGGTTGAAGGCAATGAGCTTACCAGGTTGAAGGCAATGAGCTTACCAGGTTGAAGGCAATGAGCTTACCAGGTTGAAGGCAATGAGCTTACCAGGTTGAAGGCAATGAGCTTACCAGGTTGAAGGCAATGAGCTTACCAGGTTGAAGGCAATGAGCTTACCAGGTTGAAGGCAATGAGCTTACCAGGTGGAAGGCAATAAGCTTACCAGGTTGAAGGCAATGAGCTTACCAGGTTGAAGGCAATGAGCTTACCAGGTTGAAGGCAATGAGCTTACCAGGTTGAAGGCAATGAGCTTACCAGGTTGAAGGCAATGAGCTTACCAGGTTGAAGGCAATGAGCTTACCAGGTTGAAGGCAATGAGCTTACAAGGTTGAAGGCAATGAGCTTACCAGGTTGAAGGCAATGAGCTTACCAGGTTGAAGGCAATGAGCTTACCAGGTTGAAGGCAATGAGCTTACCAGGTTGAAGGCAATGAGCTTACCAGGTTGAAGGCAATGAGCTTACCAGGTTGAAGGCAATGAGCTTACCAGGTTGAAGGCAATGAGCTTACCAGGTTGAAGGCAATGAGCTTACCAGGTTGAAGGCAATGAGCTTACCAGGTTGAAGGCAATGAGCTTACCAGGTTGAAGGCAATGAGCTTACCAGGTTGAAGGCAATGAGCTTACCAGGTTGAAGGCAATGAGCTTACCAGGTTGAAGGCAATGAGCTGACCAGGTTGAAGGCAATGAGCTTACAAGGTTGAAGGCAATGAGCTTACCAGGTTGAAGGCAATGAGCTTACCAGGTTGAAGGCAATGAGCTTACCAGGTTGAAGGCAATGAGCTTACCAGGTTGAAGGCAATGTCTTACCAGGTGGAAGGCAATGAGCTTACCAGGTTGAAGGCAATGAGCTTACCAGGTTGAAGGCAATGAGCTTACCAGGTTGAAGGCAATGAGCTTACCAGGTTGAAAGCGATGAACTCGGAGCGGCAGTGCACCGCAATGTACCGGCGGGGCAGTTGGGCCATAGCTCGATGTGCCTTGGCGTGCCATGCTCGGTTGTACGGAAGCATGTGGAAGGAGATGGCTTCTGTAGGAGGTTTGAAGTCCACCAGACCGAAGGTGCTCTTCACCCACACCAGCACGTCCGTGTGCCGCCTGCAGGCGTGGAGGAGTTGTACAAAGGATGCAGCACAGCAGACGGCAATTGGGTGGACTTATCATATCCATAAGATCATTCAAAGCATGGATCATGGGCAACCGAAAGTACAAAAGGGGTCATGCAGATGGTAGGTAGTCGGCATGGAATGACGCACCACTGATGCAACTGGTGGAAAACTGCTCTGCTGTTGACCGGCATGGCGATGTCAACAGTGTTGCGTCTTGCCGGCGCATGGCCCATGCCATACACCATCAGCTCACTCAGCATGTCCACCAGAGACCCTGCACCGAGGGCAACAAAACTGTGTGTTCCGTTATGCATTCTCAAGCAGATATTATTGGATGCTCTGCCATGGAATGGAGCGAATGGCTAACAAACGGGAGCGAGAAGAGCGGGACTAGGGAAGGGATTGCCGTGTTAAACGAAACGTGAGTTGGCACTTGGAATGGGACAAGAATTGGCCAATGGTACTTGCTTTGACTGAAAGGTGTGCGCCATAGTTGCTGCATTTGTAGGTGCATGAAGGCCACGGAAGGGCTGGTGCCAGGTGCGGCAGCAGCAAAGGGAGGGTTGAGAGCGGCTCTAGCAAGGAGCAGGAAGAGGTCGGGCAAGATCCAGTGGGCGTCGAGGCGAGAGAGGTCGAAGTAGGCGCAGAGGGGCAGGTCACGGGCCAGTGAGAGGCGGCTGCGACTGCACTGGGGTGTTTGCGATGTGAGGAAGTGGAGGAGGGAGAGAGGGGGATAGGGCGAAAGGGAGAGGGGGAGCGGGGGAGGCGGGAGGAAGGGAATGACAAAGTGGAGTTCTACAGAGAGGCGCATTGGTTGCCTTTCAGCCCTTCGTGTGAGCCTGCAGGCGTTACAAACGGAGTGGTACCTTGGCCAGCAGCACGCAAGTGGTACCTTGGCCAGCAGCACGCAAGTGGTACCTTGGCCAGCAACACGCAAGTGGTACCTTGGCCAGCAACACGCAAGTGGTACCTTGGCCAGCAACACGCAAGTGGTACCTTGGCCAGCAACACGCAAGTGGTACCTTGGCCAGCAGCACGCAAGTGGTACCTTGGCCAGCAACACGCAAGTGGTACCTTGGCCAGCAGCACGCAAGTGGTACCTTGGCCAGCAACACGCAAGTGGTACCTTGGCCAGCAACACGCAAGTGGTACCTTGGCCAGCAACACGCAAGTGGTACCTTGGCCAGCAACACGCAAGTGGTACCTTGGCCAGCAACACGCAAGTGGTACCTTGGGCAGCACGAGGATGCGGTTGGTGGCTTGAGCGAAGCGGGCAGCCTCTGCGAGGTGAGCGCGTGTGCTGGAGAGCTGCTCGTTGGAGTAGGCAAACACGAGGAACTTACTCGCTCTGGTGGCCTGGGGAGGGGGGAGGAGAGTGGGAGGGGGGGAGTGGAATTGGTGGAGTGAATTTCTATCACAGTAGATCTCATGCTCCCTGGTGGAGGGCGAAGGGAGCAGTCATTGGGGCAGGGGAGGGGGAGAGGGGATAGAGAGAGCAGGAATTGAGGAGGGAGGGGGGGGGGGGGAGGGGGAGAGGAGAGGGAGGGGGAGGGGAAGAGGCGGGGCTGGGGGCGAAGTGAGAAAACTTGCTTGTTCAGTTGGAAAGAAGCCTTAGGAAGACAGTAGGGCGAGGAAAGAGGGAGCACCATGACATCGGAGAAGGGCATGTGCGGCACAGGCCAGCACGCTTCAGGCCACGTGCCACGCTTTGCAGCTGCGACTTCTCCTCCTGCTCCTGCCCCTGCTCCTGCTCCTGGACCTGCTCCTGCTCCTGCTCCTGCTCCTGCTCCTGCTCCTGCCCCTGCTCCTGCTCTTGCTCCTGCTCCTGCAGCTGCTCCTGCTCCTGCTCCTTCTTCCCCTGCTCCTACTCCTGCAGCTGCTCCTGCTCCTGCTCCTTCTTCCCCTGATCCTGCTCCTGTTGCTCCTCCTGCTTCAGCTGCCAGCACCTTGCCACCCTCGCCTCCCGCGCTACCCTTGTCACCAAACTCGCCCACCAGGCTGCCTTCCACCTCGCGCACCCCGCGGCACACAGCATCCACGCCCGCTTCTATCCGCGCCAGCGACGTCAGGTTCCGCCTCACCGCCCTCGCCACGAACGCGCTCGACGCAGCTCGCGCCATCGCCGCCCGCCGCCAGGCCGCGGAGCACAGCAGCGCGGCGGAGTCTGCTGGAGCAGCAGCAAGAGCAGGAGCAGCAGCGGGAGCATTAGCAGTAGCAGAAGTAGCAGGAGCGGCAGGAGCAGCGGCAGCAGCAGCAGGGCTGTCAGCGTGGCTATCAGCAAGGATATTAGGGATTTGGAATTCGCGGGTGAGCTGAGAGTGGGGCCTCGTCCACAGATTCTGCGACTCCCCTCCGGGAGTGGGCCACTGACAGGCGGCCTCGGCCTCTCTCCGCCTCGCTGCTGTCGCCCACTGCCGCAGCGCGTTCAGCAGCTCCCTTCTGCACGCGGCTGCAGCACGCCGCTGCGGCGGAGTCAGCGCCGGCTTGTGGCCGTTCGGGACGGAGTGATCGTGGAAGTTTCTCAAGGCCGTCACGCAGTTGTCGCTCATCATCGTGAGTTCGCCACGCGGTTGACTGGGAGGAGCCTGAGGCAAGGAAAGGTCACTGCGACTTCTAACTGATGCACAACCGCCGGCGCCAGTAATGTCGGCGACGGGATTGGTTACGAGGGGGGCGAATGGATCGTCCGTCAGGTTTTTCGGAGGAGCGTGGGGCGATGAGTAACATACTCGAAGGAGACACGAGACGACGAGTAACGCGTACGTGCAAAATACTCGTTCAACGGAACAACTAGAAGTACGACGTCTCGGGACCGTTGCAACCCACTCTTCCCGCCGCAGCACTCGCATCGCAAGAGTAGGTCATTCACAGCGGAAAAAAAACGCTGGCCTGGCAGGAAACGCGGCATATCGAGTATGCCGTGGATCACTGTTGCTAGACAGTTGGACGGAGCTGAAGAATTGCTGGGAAGCGGGACAGGAGGAAGGCTGCGTTCCAGCAGTGGTGGGGCAACGCGTTTCCATTGGCCGTGCGAGTCTCGCGCGTGATGGAGAACCGACTCGCACGGCCGAGAAGCGAACCTGGTTATCATCACGTGCGAAAGCTGCGACTTTCCAGTTGCTTGCGAAGAAAACCAGCCACACGATGCAGGCCTAGGAGTAACGAACCACTTATACAAACAGGCCCCGGGAAGCGAACCGCCGAAGCAGGCTGAAGGAGCCGTCTAAAAAATCGTGATCCCTTCCAACCCAAACTAAATCACGAGACTAGGTTACCAGGAACAACGACGATACCTCACTGAACTCCCTCACAACTACCCAACATCCCCCCAACATTTTCCAAAGTCGCCAAGGCTGAAATCCGTCCGAACCGAACACGATTCCACTACTCTGATCAAAGCCATCACAGCCAACCAAAGCACAGTAACAACCAATCAAAATTGTGAAACCTAATCGCAACCAATACCATTGAGCAGACATACCAGAGTATCGTAGGCCTTGATAATCCGCACGTTTTGATACAACGGATATAATTCGACAACAACATCATCCCTTCCCGCCAACAACATTGCACTAAAATTCAAGATTTATTTAGGAATGTGCTACTTCTTGTCAAATAGAATGTACTTTCTCCGTTCCTTACTGCGTTCTTCAAACATCGCGTACAGCAGCAGGTGTTGTTCGCCCATTACTGCTAACGGGGCTTCGTCAACATCGCGCGCACTGTTTTACCAAACCATGCACTGCTGGTCTGGCTTCGGGACTAGCCAGAACCTCGATACCAGCCTAGCACTAGCTAGCTCGCACCCAGGGCTAATTTTATCAGTGTAAATCACCCTGATACCCTGATAATCAGGGTGGTTTTGATGGTCACACTGATGGCCTATGGTAGATTTTTAGGGTGTTAGGTTTACCCTGATGTGCCAGAGTATTTGTGTAAGGCACACTGATGTCTAAGGGTTGTCGATTCCCGTAACGGGTTTTACCCCGTACCGGGTATCCTACCCCCCCCCCCCCCCCCCGCCCCCTAGTACACCCACCCCCCCTTTCCCGTAACCTGGGATTCCCGAGAGGCAACTGTCTAAGCCGGAATGTCGGCCTTGACAACTCATGTGCTGGCACACCGTGGGCCACCATTGGCCACGTTTACAGTTTCTTTCTAGGCAGCGCCACCGACGCAACTCGGTCTGTTTGTTTGGCATGACAAGGCCGGGTTAGCTGGAAACTTGGCTGACTGCAGCAGAAAGTCGGTGCCCACTAGCCCACTGGGCACCGCGGTCCTTACTCGACTGTGGCTGGCTCTGCAGTTCGTTTGCGTGCACGGTAGGAAACAGAGGCGAGAAAGGGTTGGGTTGGGGGCATGAACACGTTTGGGGTTTCACATTGCAAGACCAGAGAACACACGCACAGTTAGGCTACGTAGGCCTTTCTTCCGCTACACAAGAGGAGCCATGGCTCCAGCAGAGACTGACGATGGTGAGGCTGATGACGAGCCACCAAAGGATCCGCCCGCGCGGACAGGCCTGGATTTTCTGCGAGCGCTACATGCGGACCCTCCGCCTGTAGGCACTGCAGACCCGTCTGCTTGCAGCAATGAGAAAGAGCCTGTTCACACTCCGTCTGCTTCTAATGCCGTCGCGCCAGACAGTGCTCCCGCCACTGTCAGCGTCACAGAGGTCGGTGAGTCATCGTCTGCAGCATCGAAGAAGCGGCGTCGCTACGCGCAAGCCGTCCTACTGTTCGGCACGCCCCCTGCGAAACCGACTCCGCCTCCCGCTCCTGTCCAAACTCCGAAGCGTGCGTCCCGTGAACTCACCGACGCCGAGAAGGCTGAGGAGAAGTTTCTAAAGGCGCAGCAGCTATACATCACGCAGTGGCTGCCGAGGTTTGACTGGCTGCTGCTTGACAAGAACGAGGAGGGCCTGCCAATTCTTCGATGCAGCATTTGCGTGGAGCATGGAAAAGACGACGCGAAGTTCGGACGCGATCTGCAGCTCGGATCGATGCGCTGTCACGAGATGAGCGGCCGCCACGACAAAGCCATGAAACGGCAGCGGACGCTCATGGCGGAGATCGAGAAGCAGAAGCGGATCGACGATTTCGCCAACACCGACAAGGAGGGCGCGCGGCTTACACGTCTCATGCGCGGCGTGGAGTTTATCTGCGACCATGAAGCGCCGATCGCGATGTTCCCGAAGCTCATAGGCTTCCTTGCAGAGGAGGGAGTCGAGGACATCCCGCTCCAGTCCTATGGCGTGTACATCACGCAGTAAGTGTATGCATGTTTGGGTTGAACGCTTTGGCTGCATCTGAGGTTGTTACGAGACCTTTTCCTAAAGATACCTTTTCCTCGGCTTGTCGCAGGTACAGATTCAACGAAATGGCGTCGGCGATGGCAAAGTTCCAGAAAACGCAGCAGCTGCAGCATCTTCTCGCTTCACCTTTCGTCGGCCTGACCTGCGACGAGAGCATGGATCGCGCTCGTGGCAAACACTTGATTGTGTTTGCCACGTTCCTCAAGCACGGCGTGTCCGTCATAGAATTTTTGGCGCTGCTGACGGTCCACAAATGCGATGCGTCCTCGCTGTTCACCGTGCTCGAAAGCCACCTGGAGTCGATTGGCGTGGACATCAAGCGTGTGTCCGGCATCGGCACCGACGGAGCTTCCGTGATGACGGGGGAGAAGAGCGGCTTGGTTAGCCGCTTGCAAGAGCGCGTGCCGCATCTCGTCGGATGTCACTGCGTAGCGCATCGGTAAGCTCTGCTTTAATGAGTGTGAATTTAGCCTAACGCGATGAAGTACATCACCTCTTATTGCGTTACTAATCTTCCTTCTTGGTGTGCTGCAGTGAAGCCTTGGTGGTCAAGGATGTTGCGAAGGCTTTCCCCGACCTTAACATGATCGATGCTGCTGTGCGTGCTGTGGGGGAGATCATCTGCCGTTCCAACATTTGGTACGAGAGGTTCAAGGAGCTGCAACAAGAGATACACAAGACAAACCCCGAACACCAAGGACTGTTCAACGTCAGATGGCTATCGCGGGGAGACGCTATAGCGCGGCTATGCAGAGTGTTCGGGGCGGCGATCGTCATGATTTTGGAGTACAAGCACAAGATTGCTGCAACAGTGCAAACGTTCAAATTCCATTCCTGTCTGTACTTTCTCGCAGACATTCTTGCCGTGCATAACTCCCTCAACCGCTTCTTCCAGCACCGCAAGGCAAGTGTGTTTGCGTACCTGTTTAAGTTTGGTATTGTCAAAACTTTTTGTGTCTGACCTCTGCGACGGGCTTGGTGTGTGGCAGGTGGACATCACACAAGTGGCCAAGGAAGTCGACCACACGATCACCATCATCGCGCACAGGTATATCCAGTACGGCGAGACATTTGGCGGTGGGGTCAGCAAGCTGTTGTCCAAGTTCATCAAAGAGCATGGAGGTGACAACAGGACGGTGGTGGTTGAAGGGATTGACGCGGAGGGGCGGCAGACATCACACAAGTTCGAGCTGAGCGAGACACCTATCAAGAAACACAAGTTTGGGGCACGCTTGCTGACTGAGAGAAGCTGTGCACGGGTTTCGCAAAGGAAATCGTCGCGAGAATGAAGTACCGCATGTGGGACTTGCAGCAGTTGGGCGGCGTGAAGCTGTTTCAAGTTGAATCGTGGCCATCCAAAGATGACCAGCGCGAGTTGAAGACACTCGAGTGGCTTGCGGCAAACAATGAGCTGTTTAGCGGATTGCTTCCAGGTGAGGGTAGAATTGACACGTGCAGTTGATTCGTTTTGTTCCTTGCCAACACGTGCTGAAATTTTGCTAACACGTGCACGCCTGTGCCAATTTCGCCAGGTGGGCCAGGGAAGGTTTCGCAAGGAACGTCAGCGACGATTGCTCTTGGCGCGTTAGTGGTGAATTCACTAGAAAAAAACATAGATTTGAGTAAAAATTCATTGGGTGCGCTTATATGAAGGTGATTCAAATTTAGGGTGGGCTATTAATCGGCACCAAGCTATAAGCCTACTCGTATGATTATAAGCACTTGGGTGTAACATAGACCTAGGGGAATATCCGGGGTATGGCAATAAGTCTTATAAATGGACAAGAAATCGTTTAGAAGGTACCCCTTGTTATAAGATTACCCCTAAACCCTACTACGGTACTGTTTAGTAGACAATGCCGTAACTCGTACACACCTAGAGGTGTCTGGAATACCCATTTATAACAGACACCCGTTTTAAAGACACCCCCTGTCTTCTATTCAACAATGCCTTATATCCGGGTGATGACCGTAGTGAAGCGATACTCACTAAAACTTGACTCGCTACTGTAGCTATGGACTTTGTAATTTCTTGGAATGTAAAACAACTATTTTTACTGTCCAATATGATTTTCTAGATGAATTTCTTTTTATCTGATTGAGTAGAAACAAATTTTTTGTTTCCATCTAATTCATCAGAAATGTAATTTTTGATTCATATGAAATTGAAAGAAGCTGGTGTACCGTGATTTTTAAAAGAATATGCCGTGATAGTTAAAAATCTTTTGTGTGAGGCAGAACCTTTACTGTGACGGGTAGCATTTTTCCTGCAATAGGTCGACCTAGCTGTTTCAGGGCGAATCTGCTCTGACAGATCAAGAGCGAGCCTGGTTTGTGTCCCACTTGCATACAGAAACTAGAAACCAGTGTTTCCATTGGCCAGATATGGTCTTTTGAAATCTATTCGGCCCTGTCTGATCCATCAGGTGCCTCGAAATCATAGCTAGGCCCCTGTACCTATGACTATTGTTAGGTGCAAATACTTAAATTGCACGTCAACCTACCGCCTATTCGACGACGGTAAAAGAAAATGGGGAGTTTTGTTTGAAGTTAATTTGTGGCGTGAGAATTGTCATTTCATTTTGCATTTTGTGTGTGCGCATTTTGTGTGTGTTCTGTGCGCATTCGTCCTTGCATTTTGTGTGTTTCGTTTTCATTTGTAATTGCATTTTGTGTTTGTGCATTTTCAGTTTCGTGTTCACTGCTCTCATGAAGCGCTCAAATGAGGCTCACATGATGCGCTCAAATGAAGCTCTCATGAAGCGCTCAAATGAGGCTCCCATGACGCGCTCAAATGAAGCTCTCATGAAAGCTCAAATGAAAGCTCTCATGAAGCTCCAATGAGCCTCAAATGCGCTTCCCATGAAATTCCCATTTGTTTTTCATGTTTCATGCGTGTCCCATGCGAGCGAGTGGTGTACCGGGGGGCAAAGGGGGGCTCGATAGTTTGACTAGGGGGGTGTTGACTTTCGCCCTAGTCAAGGTAAAAAGGTACACGAGAATCTGGACCGCGCGTGGGGTCCAGATCTCGCGCGTGCCCTCTCAGGGCTCGCGCATGTGCCTTGGCACTGTTGCGAGCGTGGCAGGGCCCATGATCGCAACAGGACAGGGCGAATGATCGCCCTGTCCCGCGCAGTACAGCGCACGTCCGTGCACTGTACAGCACGACCGAAAAGTTGGTCGTGCATGATTGCGCCCCTCAGGGGTGCGTGTGTGTTTCGGGGGGTGCTGAGGGATCCCGGAGGGTGCTCGGGATTGACTCGAGATTTCAGTTGGATAACTGAATCTTGAGTCTCGTCTTTTATGACGTGGCGAACTCGAAATTTCTCGAGAAAGGCACGCTGCATTACGAAATGATTTTGCCGCAGGTGCAATTCGGTTGCTCGCGTCATCAAACGGTTAAATCCGTTTTACAGCTGTAAACTCGCATGAACTTCATGTGAGGCTTATGGGAGCCACATGGGAGCCACACATGTTCATGTGAAGAGTCAGCAGGGCAATTGCCAGGAGTGCACTTTATTTACAACATGGAGACAAAGGCAATAGCCTAAGAAGTTGTGCAACCGCTTTCAAGTACAACGTGCCTGAATCTAGAGACTTCGCCTTCGGACTCCTTTATGCTTTCCTTTGCTTGTGTGTCGGGCGAATATATAAAATGCTTGCTTGTGCTTGCTTGGATTAATCCTTTCTAGTGGAAATATTTTCTGAAGCTCTCTAACAAGTTAACGTGCTCTATCAACGTATTGACGTGAAGAGCTATTCTGCACACGAGCCAATCCGTCGTCAACGCTGCGCAACATAGTTCGGGAACGCTCTAGTACGCACGATAATTTTCATACTTAGGGACATCAGACGAAGGACATACTACTCTCGGAAATTTCTGGTAATACTTCGGCTGTTTGCTGGAGTGTTGTGTGTTGGGAAATCCCTCGCAATAGGCTAGGCGCGATTGTGGGTCAACAGAATCGCGTGGCAGGTACTCCGAAGATATTGGGGATACGCTGTCGCCCAATCTGCGGGAAAACTACTGGAGGCTCTTCATGTGTTGCCAGTTTCGAAAGACACGTTACCACAATTCGTCCTCCTGTCAGAACTTTAGACGAAACCTTTCGGGAAAAAAACTGGAATCGCGTCCAAGATTGTTGGGTTCTTTTTTAGCACTCGAGTTTGTCATAGTAACGGTTCATGTTGGTAACCATTGGGATTTGCTCCAGATTGTAATAACTCACTAAAACACACCCGACTCAATATTGAAATTGATACATCCAGTTAACTGTACGATATTCAATATGACCCAGCCTCAAAATATTTATTGCGTTTGGTCAATCAACTTTCGGAATTAAAATTTAGAATCAGCCTTAAATATATATGATCATTAAACATATGCTACTCAGAATATCTCATTACACATTGCTATTACCATTGCTAGGATGCTCCAAACTATCATCATTCCAATCCTTCATAGCAACACCACCCAGGTCAAAAAACCCACTCTCAGATCTGATCCCAGCTTTGTTGAGCCACTTTAAAATCTGATCATGCCTCTTGTCCATCTCCCTCATGTTGATGGTGCTGTCGGGAGACAAGCTGGGCCTCTCTGTGAGCATGCTGTGCTCCACCTGAAAGACACATATCATAGCATGAGATCATACGAACACAACGGCTGTAAGCATGATAATTACAACCAGGAAGGCACTCGTCACAACATAAAACCAAAAACCCAATTGATAATATTACTAACTCACCGCCAGAAACATGTAGCACATCTGATCGATGGTGAGCGCAACCACAGCTGGCTCATCCTTGTACCACGAGGCAGCCGCCTCGTAAAACGCAACGCTGGAAAATGGAGTTCCGTCAAGAACATGCCATGGAACGCCATAATCCTCTGCAATGGTAAAACACAATTTTGGTCAGCACTGTTTAAGCTGTAGTGTAAACAAAACACATTTCAAACAGTTACCAGTCCAGTTATCCGAGGCATACTTGCGCCGCGCCTCTGCTGTGTTGGGAAGTCGCACCCCAAGAATGTCACACAGAAGGGGGTAAGTCACTTCACGAAACTTGGTACTCAACTTCCCCTACGACTGCTACCTTGGGTAACAATCTTAGCACCCAGCCCACCATTGCACCACAAGGATTCGAAATCATGAAGCTCCTTGTCTAGCACGTCGAGGTCAGCAATGACCTCCGCCTTGTAGTCCCTTTCCAAAGGATAAATCATCCTCTTTGACAACTTAGGCCCGTTGAGAAACATGTCCACAACATCACTTATTGTCGCCTGCAGCAGAAAAACAAGAATAGTGTTTAAAATCGAATAAATAACAAAGACATTAAAACTGTGCGAAAAGGTGTGGAGAGAGCGTAGGTACATTTATCTTAGCCTCGTCAGCCCAAGGTGGTTTGATCACGTGGATCATCAGCTCCTTAAGCATGTCCATCATCTCCCGTTGACTCCTATCCGAGGCAGCAAGCCGATTCTCCAAGCGATTCAGCGTCTCTCCAAGCTTACGAACGGCGTTGCGGAGCTCCGTTTCGGAGCTGGGTCTGACGTTGTTCGCTTCTCTGTGAAAGATGTTGCGTTCGGAGGCTGGAACCTGTTCTGGAGTAGTTAAAAAAAAAACACAGTAACATTTTCAGGTTTGTAGAACGACTATGCGCGGCACAGCACAATAACCAATAACCATGACTCACTCACCTTTTTCAACTTGCATCGCAGCAGGTTCAGCAACAATGAGTTGCTCTTGTGAACCAGGCGCATTCTCCCCGTCTCCTTCCGAGGAGCCTTCGACAGCAGCAGCCGGGGCTTGCTTCGACAGTGAATCGCCTCCACCACTCCCTTCCGATTCAATGTTCAATGTTTTTTTAGTGCCCTTAACCTTTGGTTCTGGCAGTTCGAGTTTCGGCGACTGGTTTTAGGAGCAAAATAAAACCGATATGAACATGAAAATGACATGTTCT